AGTGTCCTTTCTAGCTTTCCTGGGCCCAAGGTGCCGCCACTGCAGATCCCTCCGAACTTACAGTTCTGATGTAAGGATGCCACACAAGGAATCCCTTGGTGTACAGGCTGTTATGAGAGGACTCTTGTTGTGGAGGCCCCTGCAGGTCCCCCACACTTGAAATCCTTGTGCACGGTCGCCACAAAAGGAATCCGTGTCGTAAAGGTTGCTACACAGGGTTTTAATCGCGGAGCGTCTGCAACATAACAAGACCGACAGTCACAGGTATTCCTAGCTTTGTCTTACCTTTCCAGTTGAAAACACAGGTTGTGTCATGGTTTTCCTGTTTGTTTGTTGTTTTCCTGGTGAGCTTCCGCACCCCCCTCCCTCCTCCACCCTCCCTCCTCCTCCTCCTCTCTCATTCTTCCTTTCTAATACAAGCGCGATCGTATTTCAAAAAGAAAAAACAATAGGACTTCCTCACTGCCCTCCCCCCTTCCTTCTCTACCGATAGACATACAATCGACAGCAATGCGAACACAATACGATTACATCAGGGATTGCCTATGCTTGCAGACCAAAAAATGCGCTGGTTGTAATCGCACAAGCCAAGGGTCATGCGGACCCCCCCATTTTCAAAAGGCAATTTGGCCCCACAGGGGAGGGGGACAGAGGGATGGGGACAACAGTCACATGGCTCACACGGGGACAGCGGACTGTTGGACACATCGGAGCTATGTTGGATCACTCGGGAGGCCTCTTCGGCCTGAGTGGTCATTTGGACGGCCTCCTAGCGTGGACGAGCTCGACGGGCACGCCCCCTCCACCCAGGAGCTCGTCCCCACCCCCAGCCACCCACCCTGTGGAGCTCGTCCCCACCCCGCCAGGAGCTCGTCCCAACCCCCAGGACCTGTTGGGAGAAGGAGCAGGAGGAGAGACATAGGCCCAGCCAAGTATATCGTGAACCGTGCCACCCGGCACGCAGGGGTCGGTGGATTCTTAAGTTCCCAGAGTATAAAAGCATCAGGATTCCATGTACGTATGCTTACAGGCATCGAAGTTCACATTCACGAGAAGATGCCCAGGCTTTCCTCTCATCATCCACCATGCCTTACTCCTCCGTCGCCGTTTTCGCGCCAGTATTTGTTCAACTCAGCGTCTTGGCAGCCTCCCACTGCCCGGCCCCTTTAAGAAAGAGAGTGAGAACCCTCTAGGCAGAGCCTAGGTAGGGAACGAAAATGAAATAAGCTAAGCTAAGATGAGATAAGCAACGCTAAGCTAAGGGAACGTCTCTGGGGGAACCGCGGGGCGGATGCCGGGGGAACCGCCCGGGGCGGGCAACACTGCCCGGCCCTTTAAGCTTACCGAGTAAGAACCCTTCTAGGCAGAGCCTAGGTAGGGAGATAGTGTAATGGTATAGTCGTGTAAAACCCACGCTTTCTTTTCACAAAATGGTGTAATTATGTAATGGCGCAACGCGTACAGCATTCGCCGAATGGTGTAATGGCGTAGTGGTGTAAAGTGTTCACCGTACAACAAGGTAATGTAATGATGTACGGGTGCAACGCGCATACAATTATGTACAGTTGTGTCAACTTGTGTAATGGTAAAAACGGTGTACCGCTTACATACACCAATCTCGAATATTGTGTAAGAATACAATGATCCAGGTTTCAGTTATCCGACCCAGAGCGCCGCCACGGTAAGCCTTCCCATTCTATGTCTTTCTTGGGGCTCTCCTGGGGTTCTCTCATGGGGGCCCATGCGGCCGTTTTGGAGCCTTCTCGGGGTGTCTTGGGGCTCTCCGTGGGGCCTCAGGGGCCGCTTTGGGGCGATCTTTGGGGCCCCATGGGCCGTCGTGGACGCTGTCAATCGAAGAAAGCGAGTATGCTAAGAGAAAGTTGCCTAAGGGAATGAGACGATGTTTGCATTTGGGGGCCCTCTCGGCGGCTCTTTGGGAACATTCTTGGACCGTTCCGAAGCCACCTTCGACCGTCGTGGCCTTACCTTGGCCGTATCGGCGCTCTCTTGGATTAGTTTGGCGCTCTGTGTTGGCCCCCTCGGGGGCGTCTTGGAGCTCTTCGGGGTGTCCAGAGGCACCCGGACAAGCGTTGGCGAGCTCCCAGGGGGAACCCCGTGCGACCTCTTGTTATGATTACAACAAAGCGTTTGTGATAAATTTCCTGATGATGTCTTGCGCGTCTCCATCATCGAGTGCCACATCGATTGTATTATTATTTCAGCAGGGGCAGGAGGGACATCGAGAAACCCCGAATGCTTTCTCAGTAGATTCGCATGGCTTTCCGATTGTATTCCTATTGGTGGAGAACGAGGGGAGAGGGAGAGGTTCCTATTGCAGTCCGAGTAGCTTCCTATTGAACTCCCGTATGAGTAGGAGGAAGGGAGGGGCGGCGGAATCCCAACACCGCATTCCTATTGGAAGTGGAGGGGGATGGAGTGAGGTGGTCATTTTGTTTCGTATCGCATTCCTGTTGCAATTGCATGAGAGGGGGAAAGAACGATGTGGAGGGAGGGCCGAGGAGGGGGGAGAGGCAGCGGAAGCTTATCAGGAAAACATGGGAGAAAAACAAAAAATGTGGGTTCACTTGGAAAATAAAAAAAGCTAGGAACATTGAGTATCAGGCGCTCCGCAATCAAACGGATGTTACTCGTGGGGGACTTGCACTGGCCCCCACATTTAGAATTCTCTCGTAGCAGCCTGCACAAAAGGGGTTCCTTTTGTGGCGGCCTTCACAAAAGAATTTTAAGTGTGGGGGGATTTGCAGTGGCGGCACCTTGAGGCCAGTAAAGCTAGAGGAGAAACCAGGAACAACAGAAACACCAAGAAAAAGCCTGTGTGCTCACACGGAACATAGGAAAAAGCCAGGAAGATGTTTGATTGACAGTGTTTTTTATGGTACAGACGCTCCACGCTTAAAACTGTTGTGTCGCAGCCTTTACTACAGAATTCCTTGCCTGGCTACCTTACAAAGGGATTTAACGTTGTGAAGGATCTGCAGTGGTCTCCACGCTTAGAATCCTCTCGTCGCAGCATGTACAAAAGGGATTCCTTGTTGCGGCGGCCTTACAAGAGGATGTTAAATGTGGGGGGGGGGGGGCTGCAGTGGCGGCACCTGGAGCCCAAGTAAGTTAAAGAGGGAGAAAAAGAAAACATGAACATCAGGAACAAGCTAGGAAGACTTTCGACCGTCTGTACTTTTATTGCGCAGGCGCCCCGCAATTGAAATCCTTTTCTGGCAGCATTGACAAAGGGTTTGTTGCGGCGACCTGGCGAAAGGATTTTATTTCTGGGGGACCTGCAGGGGCCTCCACAATGAGAACCCTCTAGTAGCAGCCTGCACAAGAGCGGATTGTGTTGTGGTTGTTTTGCAAGGGGATTTGAAGTGTGGGTGATCTTCAGAGGCGGCACCTTGAGCCAAGGAGCGCCAGAGAGGAACACAGGGGGGAAACAATGAATGATATGAAGAAGCCTGTGTGTTCACAAGGGAAATAGGAGAACAAAAAACGAGGAAGACGTGTGAGTGTTCTGCGCCATGAAAATACATACAGCCACGCGAATGTGTTCCACCATTAAAATTCCTACAGTCACAAGTACCCCTAGCTGTTTCATACTTTTCCCTGTGAGTGCAAAGGTTTTGTCAGGGTGTTACTGTTGTCCGTTCAGTTTCCTATTTCGCCTTCCTGGGCTCAGGCGCCGCCACCGCAGATCCCCCCGCAACGAAAACTCTGTTGTAGTGCCAGCACAGAAAGAACTTGTTGTACAGGTTGCTACGGGGGGGTTTTAATTGTGGAGGCCACTTAAGATCCTTGTGTAAGGTCGCCAGAACATGAATCCGTTTGTAAAGTTGCGACAGAAGGATTTAAAGTGTAGAGCATCCGCAAAATAAGAACACCGACGGTCAAAGGTCCTTCTGGCTTTTTCCGATGTTCCTTGTGAGCACATCGGCTTTTCCTTGTTGTTCCTGGTGTCCTTTCTAGCTTTCCTGGGCCCAAGGTGCCGCCACTGCAGATCCCTCCGAACTTAAAGTTCTGATGTAAGGATGCCACACAAGGAATCCCTTGGTGTACAGGCTGTTATGAGAGGAATATTGTTGTGGAGGCCCCTGCAGGTCCCCCACACTTGAAATCCTTGTGCACGGTCGCCTCAAAAGGAGTCCGTGTTGTAAAGGTTGCTACACAGGGTTTTAATCGCGGAGCGTCTGCAACATAACAAGACCGACAGTCACAGGTATTCCTAGCTTTGTCTTATCTTTCCAGTTGAAAACACAGGTTGTTTCATGCTGTTCCTGTTTGTTTGTTGTTTTCCTGGTAAGCGTCCGCACCCCCCTCCCTCCTCCACCCTCCCTCCTCTCTTCCTCTTCCTTTCTAATACAAGCGCGATAGGATTTCAAAAAGAAACAAGCAATAGGATTTCCTCACTGCCCTCCCCCCTTCCTTCTCGATCGATAGACATACAATCGACAGCAATGCGAACACAATACGATTACATCAGGGATTGCCTATGCTTGTAGACCAAAAAATGCGCTGGTTGCAATCGCACAAGCCAAGGGTCATGCGGACCCCCCACTTTCAAAAGGCAATTTGGCCCCACAGGGGAGGGGGACAGAGGGATGGGGACAACAGTCACATGGCTCACACGGGGACAGCGGACTGTTGGACGCATCGGAGCTATGTTGGATCACTCGGGAGGCTTCTTCGGCCTGAGTGGTCATTTGGACGGCCTCCTAGCGTGGACGAGCTCGACGGGCACGCCCCCTCCACCCAGGAGCTCGTCCCCACCCCCACCCCCAGCCACCCACCCTGTGCAGCTCGTCCCCACCCCGCATGTACGCATGCTTACAGGCATCGAAGTTCACATTCACGAGAAGATGCCCAGGCTTTCCTCTCATCATCCACCATGCCTTACTCCTCCGTCGCCGTTTTCGCGCCAGTATTTGTTCAACTCAGCGTCTTGGCAGCCTCCCACAGCAGCATCTCTGATTTCTGGGCGCGGCGCCCCCATGCCGTGCCTGCTTCTGAACCCCATTGCCAGCCTGGAGGTGCCGCATAACGCCATCATGCCCATTGCGCTGTGGCCCTCCACGCCCACGCCGAAAGCTGAGGCTTACGCGCTGCACAGCGACGGGAAGTGCTGGCCATTGCTTCTGAACGCGCCCCAGAACGAGAACGGGCCAGATCAGGGACCAGCAACCGTTCTGTTCGAGATCGAGGACCATCGTGCAGACGGGCCGGCGGGGAAGAGTTCGTTTTTCGACCGACAGAGCAGTCAACTTGTGAAAGTGAAGAACACGTTCATCGATGGGTTCTTTGATGACGAGGACCAGATCGACGGTCTGGCTGTGGCCGCCTGCAAGAGCTGGTGCGTCGGCGTCAGGCGGCAGGGCTCTGCGTCTTTGTCTTGCGGCAGCACGTCTGACGGGGAGAGTCTGACGGCGCCGTCATCACTGAAAGGCTCTGTGCAGCTGGGCCTCTCGGCGGAGCCGCCGAGCCCGCCCCCGAGCCTGCCGAGCACAATACGGCAGCCGCAAGCCTCCGCGGGAGCTGATCTCCACGGCACTGGAAGGTGCAGGCCTTGTGGATGGTTCTGGAAGCCAGAGGGGTGCGTCCACGGTGCGGGGTGTTGCCATTGCCACATGTGCCCAGATGGCGAGCTGAAGACGCGGAAGAAGGCGAAACTTGCGGCCGTGCGTGCACGGAGACGCGTTGGGAACGCCAACGATTCGCAGTGACTTGGCTCCTGGCTAAGCCATGCGAGTTCTAGGATTCTGGTGTCCAAGCAGTGCGAGCGCGACCTGCTCGCCACCAGCGAAAGGCTCGGCTGGGGGACGGCGCGCGCTGTATGTGAGCCAGCAGCGCTTTCCCTGCATCGGCCATGGTCACGCCGCGCCAGGAGTCCCTCCGCATTGGCCCCTCCGCGCGTGCGCCAGGGAGTCCGAGGAGGCATTTTTGTTGTTTGCCGGCTGCCACATATGTTTGGCAGCATTCGATCACTTTGATGTAGACGTATCTGGTTGACCTTGACGGTAAGGGCAAGGTATTTCTGCCACACATGTTTGGCGTTCCTAGCACAGGGCGATAGTGTGAACTAATTTGCTTGACCTTGTCAGTAACGACAAGGTGCCATAGTGCGTGTTTTAAAAAAGCGCACGTTGAGTTGCCCATGTGGAACCAGCAAGCAGTAACGCTTACTGCTGCACACGCCAGCACTGGTTACCCATACGAAGCGAACCCACATGAGTTTTGCACGTTCTGTGCACTTGCTTGGCCTTGCCACCATTTGGCCGGAAATCCTCCAGGTTGCTTCAGTGGTTTTCAGGCCCCCAGTGACCAGGACACAGATAAACCAGGACACGGGAAACCAAGGAAACGACACCTTTTCTTGCAAAGGCACATTTTTCAGCACCTGTGCATTTTTTGTTTGTTGCACTGCAGGATTCGGGTATGTGTCCGGGTTTAGCGGGGTTTCTACAGGCTTTAAGGGCCTGTGTCCGGGTTTATTTTGGAAGCGCTGCAGTGCCTTATTTTGTTCGTGCTGCCGTCTGGAAAAATTGGTTTCGAGGGATGTTGGGTGTCCGGGTTTAGCGTGTCCGGGTTTACGGGGCCCTGAGGTTTCCGCAGGCCCAGTTGTTTTTTAAGTGCACAGGCACATCGGCCGAAATGGCCCAGACCCGACGGACAGCGCACAGAGATCTCGCAGCATGCCGTGCCAAACGGATCGCGGCAAAATTATATCATGGTGTTACGATTGTATTGGGGTCTCGGGGCGCATGGGGCAATCTTGTGACCTCTTGGGGGGCAAAACGGACGACAGGCGAACATCATCGTCTCCAAATGTTGCACTCTGAGGTACTGTAGTGGAGGCCGTCTTGAAGGATATCGGGAGGCGCTTTGGATCGTGTATCGCGTGATCCTCTTGCATGCCGATGTATATTGTGAGCTCCGGGAAGCATCTTAGAAGGAACCATCCTACGCCGTCGTAGGCCGTCGGAGGGCGCTTGTGCTGATTAAATTGCGTTGTATCGATTCTGGGAGGCGGCCAAAGTCTGAGAACACACGGCTGGGGCGCGATGCGTGTCCTGTGTCGGGTTTTGGAGACATCGGGTGTCTATAACAATGCTTCCAGAGGTTTGCGCTACTCTTGCGGGGTTCCTCTGAGCCAAGCCGAGTACTGATCCTGTGCATGCGAAGACATGGAATCGTTTCTAACATGAGCTAGAGGTTACCAGGGAAATCACCTGGGCGAAGGACCCAAGCATTGTGGGTACCGCGTGCGTTGTGGGTACCGTTTTCGGTGGAGTTCCTTTTCGGGCCACGAAGCGTATAAGGGGTGTACCGGAGCGGAGCGGGTGCTGGCCCGCGGAGAACGGGAGGCGCGATGATGCCTTGGCATGCTCGGGTGCTTCGGGGAAGACAGAGTGGAGGAGGAAGAGCGAGAGCATGCGAAGGAGGAGAAGGGCAGGCAATAATGATAATAATGAGGGAGCGGAAGGAGGAAGGGAAAGGTTCGCAGGCCTAGAGGTTGACACCAACACCAACATCGGCGGTGCGCATCCACCGAGGGAAGAAGATCCCGATCTCGGTGATGGTGGTAGCATTCTGGCTTCAAGGTGAACGAAATATTACCACCAACACCGAAGTCTGGGATCATCTTCCTCCTGTAGAGGCACCCCCCCCGTGTTGGTGGTGCCCATTTCCAGGCCTCCCAAAGGAGCACCAGCGGACGGAGGGAGGACAATGTTTGGCCAATCTCAGGACCCTCTCGGGGCACTCTTGGGGTCGTCTCGGGGCTCTCTTGGACGGTGGCCCCCGGGATCCTGAAGCGCTTCTTTATGTGCCAGTGTCCCCAGTGGGTGGGGGGGGGGGGGGCGCTCAGGAGGAGCAGGAGGAGGAGGAGCAGGAGGAGGAGAAGCAGGAGGGGAAGGAGGAGGAGGAGAGGAGGAGGAGGAGGAGGAGGGGGGGCGCTTTGGGGGGCTGTTTGGGAGCCCCCTGGAGGCCCTCGGGGAGCCTTCTCGGGGCCCCATTGGTAGTATAGCCTCCTTTGACCTCCACCTCCCGGGCGCAGGCTGGGCCTCCTTGGGGCCCTCCTGGGGCCATCTCGGGGTCGTCGTGTGCTTGTGAGGCACATGGGAATCCTCCTCCTCCTCCTCCTCCTCCTCCTCCTCCTCCTCCTCCTCCTCCTCCTCCTCCTCCTCCTCCTCTCCTCCTCTCCTCCTCCTCCTCCTCCTCCTCCTCCCTCCTCCTCCTCCTCCTCCTCCTCCTCCTCCTCCTCCTCCTCCTCCTCCTCCTCCTCCTCCTCCTCCTCCTCCTCCTCCTCCCTCCTCCTCAGAGGTCAGGGCGAGAATGTCGGAGCCGAGGCAGGAATGCGTTTCAGTGATTTGGGTATCCTGGGGGCTTCCTCAGGGGCTCCAGGGCCATCGTGCAGCCAATTTGGAGCCACCGTGGAGGCCGTGTTGGGCAGTAGTGGAGGTGATGTTGGGTTACTATTGGCCACTCCGGAACCATCACGGATCACTCGGGAGGCCTCTTCGGTCTGAGTGGTCATTTGGAGGGCCTCCAAGCGTTGACGAGCCCGACGGGCACGTCCCCTTCACCCACCCTGGCCCCTCTTTGTTCGGCTGGGATTTGGGGCGATATGGGGAGGAGGAAACGGGGGAGAGAGGCACAGCCAAGTATATCACACGCCCTGTCACCTGGCGTGCAGGGGGCGGCGGACTCTTCATTTACCAGATTACGAGCACATGTCAGCCGGCGTGGACCCCCGACAGCAAGCTGCTGCACCGTGAAGGTGCGAGGTACGTGGAGCAAGGCGTGTGGTGTCGGCCACGTGGCCCGATGTGGTGCGAGCTGTGCCGTGCAGGCTGCGTGGTGGTGCTGGTCGCATCCCTCTCGCTGGCACGCGGGAGGAGACTGCAAGGAGGGGAGGAGGAGGAGGAGGAGGAGGAGGAGGAGGAGGAGGAGGAGGAGAAGGAGGAAGAGGATCTATAAGGAGCGTGGCGCGAGCTGCGCTGGCGCGAGCCGTGCTGCACGCGCTGCGCCGCCCGGGGCACGGGGCGGCCACGGGGCGGCCACCGGCGGGCACGCGGCACCGAGGCGGCGAGGCCTGGCAGACGCACCCGGGGCCCGGGGTGCCCGCGTGCTCCCCCCGTTCCCCTCCTCCTCCTCCTCTCCTAGATCCCTTCCTCCTCCTCCTCCTCCTCCTCCTCCTCCTCCTCCTCCTCCTCCTCCTCCTCCTCCTCCTCCTCCTCCTCCTCCTCCTCCCTCCTCCTCCTCCTCCTCCTCCTCTTCCTCTACAATTACTCAATATGAATACTACTCTCCCTCTTCCCCCGATGGCGGCCTGAAATGTCGACCCCCCCCGCGTACTGTATTTGTTACACACAGGATTCCCGGGAGTTGGATTTTCGCCTGCTTTTTTCAAAATGTTGCTCTCGCTGAGGCGCCGGCCTCATTTCTGCTCCCGAATCGTTCCGAATCGTGCTCCCGCTGCAGCGTGGACCTCATTTTCGGATCGGTGTTTGGCCTCCGTCGTTCAGGATGGCGTTCTCGCCCCAACGCGGGCCTCTTTCTCGCGCGCCCATCCGCCCGCCACCACCGCGCCGCACCACCACCACCACCACCACCACCACCACCACCACCACCACCACCACCACCACCACCACCACCACCACCACCACCACCACCACCACCACACAACCACGCACACACGCACGCACGCACGCACGCGCACCACCACCCACTACGCACGCGCGCGCGGAGCCACAGGTCCGCTACGACACGCGTCCGCGGATAGAGAAAATCAGCGCCATGGTAAGGGATGGGAGGGAGGGGTAGGACGTCAGATATGACGCGAGCGCACCTAGCTTGTCCTCCTCCTCCTCCTCCTCCTCCTCCTCCTCCTCCTCCTCCTCCTCCTCCTTTTCCTCCTCCTCCTCCTCCTCCTCCTCTTCCTCCTTTCGTCCTCTCCCTCCGCCGGCCCCCTCCCCCTCCCCCCACGCCGCGCGAGGTGCTGCAGATGTCACGGGGCCGGTGCGGCGCAGCCGTCGTTCAGACTGCTGAAGCAGTTTTGCGCCCAGTCCGGCGTTCACATTTTGAAAGTTGTTTTGGCTGATGGGATCGCGCGTACGGAGTGCGCGTGCCGTGCGATGCACCACTGCACCTCAATTCGCACGGAAGCGAAGTGGCATTAAGGTTGTTGGTGTGGAAGGAAACAGCAGCAACAACAACAAAAGAGCGCTCACGAGGCGGCACGGGCGCCGACGTGGGAAATCTTCGGCGAGCCCGCCGATTTCTTCAGGCAGTACAAGTTAGAGCCGCCAAGTGCAAACATTGTTCTGGGAGTCATAGCTCCATGTGCACATGCGTGCGGGCATCGAAGCTTGCAGTCACCAGGCGATGCCCAGGCGTTCCCCTCATAATCTTCCATGCCGTTCTCCTCCGCCGCCGTTTTGGCGCCAGGATACGGTTAAGTCAGCGTCTTGGCAGCCTCACGCCGCAGCATCCCTGAGTTCTAGGCGCCGCGCCCCAGCCCTTTGCCGCGTCAGCTTCAGTGCCAGCCTGGAGGTGCCGCAGAACGCCTGCGTGCCCACTGCGCTGTGGCCCCCCACGCCCACGCCGAAAGCTGAGGCCTGCGCGCTGCACAGCGACGGGATGTGATG